TCCACGTGCACCCCACAAGCATAAGAAGAAATGTTCACATTCATTAGCAATAAGGGAAACACCAATTAAATCAACAATAAGATACCAACTCACTCCCACACTTTTAGCAAAAATTTTAAAAATCAAAAAAATAAATTGTAGAATTATACAACCACTATGGAAAGCAATATAATACTTCCTAAAACAAATGCAAACACTTTGTGATCCTGCAATCTCTCTACTTTGTATATACCCTAAAGAAATTAAAAAAACAGGAACAGATATATGCATATCTGTGTTTATTGCAGCAATTTCTATATTAGGGAAATGAAATTATCAAAAAGTCTGACTATAGAGGGATGGATGAACTCTGGTACATTCATACAATGGAACTTATGCCTCATTAAAAAACAATGATGAGTCTGTTAAAAAAAACCTTAAAACATGAACAAGAGTAGAGAACATTACGCTTAGCAAAGTTAACCAATCTCATAAAGAGAAAATGTTATGACACCACTGTTATAAGGGAAGAGAAAAACTGGTTTTCTTACCAAAGCATAATGAGGAGGTTGGCAGCCCGGGCTGGGGGGTGGGGAGGGGAGTGGGGAAGAGCAACAATCTATGTGGGGAGGGAAGGGAGAACGTCCTCTCTAAGGAGTTCAAAAGCAAAGATGCCACTAAAACATGCCTGACCTGTGCCATGGTATTTGTCAATGGTCTCATATTTACAGACAATGAATAAGGAAGACTGAAGAATTGATGCATTTTGTTGACGGTACTGGCAAAGAATATGAATATACCATGAACTGCCAGAAGAACAAATACATCGGTCCTGGAAAAAGTACAGTCAGAATGCATCTTAGCACCTTAGAAGTCAGGATGGTGAGACTTTGGCTCTCATACTTTGGACATGTTCTCAAGTGGGACCAATCTCTGGAAAATGACGTTATGCTTTTTAAAGTAGGCCAGTGAAAAGAGGAAGCTCTTCAAGGAAATGGATCAACTCAAAGACTGCAGCAATGGGCCCAAACATTGCATGGGTTGTGGGATGGTGCAGGTATGGGCAGTATTTCATTCTGTTTTAAAGGGGTTTCAAAAGTTCAAGGAAATAAATGAAGTAAAAAGGTCGAATGTCTTGGTCTAGATCCTTGTGGTAGTTACATTATCTGTTGTCAATTTGAGACTTCGAGTAAAGGGGTAGAGTTTAGCCTGTCAATCAGATCGCAGCTTGATGACCTCATTTGGAGGTGCTAGGGAGATAAAATAGGTCACTGGAGATGGGACACATGCCCATTCCCTGGCAACATTACTGACAAAGAGCTTGCTGGGGCTATGGTGATGCAACCAGAGCCCTGGGAGCTAGAGGAACCACGTGGAGACCCCTGCCAGCGTTGAGATGCTTACACCACCACTGGATCCACAAGACCTTCCACCCACTGGCCTATGATCTTCCTGCATTCGGCATCATTGCAAGTGTTTTGTGAGTCTGAAGAGGATTTTATAGATTGGTATGGGACATGTGGGCTAATATTGGACTGATGGATTTGATCTGGACTGGGCTGGGATGTTTTCTCAATATACAATTGCTCTTTTAAATAAAGTTCATTTTTATACACATATGAATTTGTTTCTCTAGTCAAACCACACAAACACAATTCTTTTGAAGCTCCTTGTATACACAGGATTGCTAAGAGTTAGAACCGACTAGACAGTAACAAGCAACAACACAAATGAGCCAAAATTGACTCAACAACAGCGGGTTGCATTATTTATTACCTTTATTAGCAGGAGGAGGGGAAAAAACCCAAACCCAAGACTTCTAATGTGGATGATTAGATATAGTATAGACTCTCTAGGCTATTTTTTAAAAATCATTTTATTAGGGGCTCATAAAACTCTTATCACAATCCATATATACATCAATTGTGTGAAGCACATTTGTACATTCATTGCCCTCATCATTCCCAACTCTTATAATAATCCATACATCAATTATATCAAGCATATTTCTACATATGTTGCCATTATTCTTTTCTAGACATTTACTTTCTTTTTTAAAAATTATTTTATTGGGGGCTCGTGCAATTCTCGTCACAATCCATACATACATCCATTGTGTCAAGCACTTATGTACATTTGCTGCCCTCATCATTCTCAAAACATTTGCCCTCCACCTCAGCCCTTAATCTCAGTTGCTCATTTTCCCCCTCCGTCCCCACCCCCTCTCCCCCATGAGCCCTCCATAATTCACAACTTATTATAGCTTTGTCATAAGTTACAGAAATATTCTTTAAATCTTGAATGGACACTATCCTGAGATCACCTTTTTTTTAGATTTTTTTTATCATTTTATTAGGGCTCATACAATTCATCACAATACATACATCAATTGTGTAGAGTACTTCTCTACATTTGTTGCCCTCATCATTCTCAAAATTTGCTTTCCTCTTGGGTTCCTGGAATTAGCTCATTTTCCTTTTTTCCCCTCCCCCTCCCTCCCCCTTCCCCCCTCCCTCATGAACCCTTAATAATTTATAAATTATTATTATATCTTATCTTACACTGCCCCGTGTCTCCCTTCTGTTGCCCATCCCCCAGAGAGGAGGTTATATGTAGATCCTTGTGATTGATCGATTCCCCCTTTGTACCCCCACTTCCCTCCTGATATTCTCCAGGCTATTATACTGCTTCTTTGTATTTGAGGGAGGAGTTACAGATTCTTGAGAAGCTGATAAAATTGATGATCTCTCTTCACACACACACACACACACCACAAATGCAGTTAGCTACACAAGGATTTACAAAAACAGCTCCGCATACAATTTCAGGCAGTCCACAGACATGGTCAATTGAGAACGCCTACTTCAGGTTAATCATTGGTATGGCCAGTGGAGAGGGTTCCCTGGGCTCAGGCATAACTTCCCCTGAGAGGGCACCAAGGTGGGTGTGCAGTGGAGAGCAGTGACCCTACATGAAGGCGAAATTCTTCCCGGAGGCCCTGCAGTGCAGGAGACCAGAGGGGAGCGGAGAGGGCAGTGTGCACTCTGTGATGCGAGGTGGTGTCAGCGGGACCTCAGAGCAGAGAGCAGGCAGGCCTGGATGCACGCCTCCCAGCAGTCCCTTCTTCCGCTTTCTTGGAACCCCCCAGCTGCAGGGGGCAGGTGGAAAGGTGGGTCTCCTTAGGTGGAGTGGAGTTTCCTCTGTGAGCATGTACTGGAGGGAGGGAGAAGGAGGCAATGTCTATTGTTGGCATGAGGAACAGTCTGGTTTCTGAAGCAGCAGGTGAGAGGCTGTGGAACATGGAAGGGGTGGGGAGAGAGACAGCACCTTGCTTCTCTGCCTCTTGACAGGGCAGGGAGGATTGGGAAGATCTGACCATCACTGCAGTCCCCAGAGCCTCTGCTGCCTTGACCTCACAGCTCTTCCCTTTGCCAAGAACTTAATCACTAGAACGGAACCTAATCCAGAGACAGGTGTTCAAAGCTGTCATGGTTACAGCCATCAAATTACAAGAGATTCACACCATCGTCAGCAATGATTTGGGAACATTAAATAAATGTGTTCCTATAACCAGACGAGACAGGATCATTTATTTATCCAATGTAAAACTGTCCCAGAAGGAGAACACATAGGGTATTATTTGTCCAAAATAAATAAAAGTGGACAACCGAACATCTCCCTATGGTTCAGTTTACAGATCATATGAGAATATGCAAATCTTGTTGAGAAAGTTTCCATGTTTAGAAGTGCAAATGCCTTCACGTGTTTTGAAATGGCCCTACGTGGCCAGTAGAATTAATTTTCTGTGGGATAAAAATTAACCAGAATTAATTGTGCTTTCCCATTTAAATAGGAAGTCTCTTTTTTTTTAATTACCACTTATTTGTTGCCAATTCCCATTACGAATTTTTGTTTGACTGTATATTATTGCTACAAATATGCAATACTACAAAAATTAAGTGTGGTGCTAGTTTTAGAAACAAAACAGAGGCGTATTAAAGAAAGTCCCAACCCCACTAGCCACTCCGCGCTTCTTTGGCTGCATCAGAGCAAGGGAGGCCGTGGGCACCAGAGGCGGAGGGATTCCAGGTGAAGAAAGAAGAAGGCTTCCAGGAGCCTAGGAAAGGATGAACCTTCCCCAATCAAAAAGTTGTTATTAGATTCAGCTCCGGCCCATGGCGACCCTCTGCACAACACAATTGGCCCTACGCAGGAGCCCATTGATGGATGCAGCCACCACCTGTCAAACCGTCCCTTTGAGGGCCTTTCTGTCTTTGCTCCACTCTACCAAACACGCGCAGTTCCTTGTCCAGGGACCGGTCTCTCCTGACAATATAACAAAAAAAAAGTCGAAGTGGCCAATAGCCCTCAGAGAAGATGCAGTACCTCCCTGGTCACCAGAGCAGGGCCAATACTAATTCACAGGGAGAAAGAGCTACTTTTGGTTCCTGGGGCTAGAAAAACAAGACGGGGTGGGGGTGGGGGTGGGGGGCGAGTGGCGGGACCCGGTGCGGTGGATTGAGGGAGGTTGTGAGGGTGAAGGAAGGGGCTCTTTTTCCTGGTGGGAGTGGAAATTGGGGACCCGAGCTTACTGGCGATGCGGCTTTCACGTGACCAGGAGCTGACGTGGGCAAAGGTACTTAAAGCCCTGACCGCGGCTCTCCGTCCTCCTCTGGGTACCAACTCTATTTGGCAGCGCACAGCTGCGCGTTGCACCTAGGCGAGGAGGAGGAGGAGAAGGAGGAGGAGGAGGTGGTGGTGGTGGAGGAGGAGGTGGTGGTGGAGGAGGTGGAGGTGGAGGTGGAAGTGGTGGTGGAGGTGGAGGTGGTGGAGGTGAAGGTGGATGTGGTGTTGGACGTGGAGGTGGAGGACGTTGTGGTAGTGGTGGACGTGGACGTGGAGGTGG